CTAAAAAGGGTTCGCTTGAAAAGTTTAGACCTTTCAAAGAATGACATTCTTTTCATCTCATTTTTTGGGCCTTTTCTTTACTCCGACCCAGTTAGGGGTGGAAGATGATCTCAATTAAGACTAAACGGTGCGTGTGAAATAAAATGCTTTGGATAAAAATTAACTTGCCTTGCGCTCATTACTTTAAAAGCATTGATGTTGCGTTCGTTGAACTTTATGGATTTTTGTTGAAAGCTTATGGAATTTCTCTATGCAATTTATGTGGAAGCCCTGCAATTATTTCAAGGAGAGAATACACTAATGCAAACTGTTACGTATTTAGGCTCGTTCAAAAGTAACAAAGAAGAAAGTGCAGCCAACAAGCTTTGTAAGTTTTAACAAAATAATTTATTTCCCTCACAAACAAGGTAAAATTGTGAAAAGAACTTACTGTTTTGTGAATATAATCCAAAAATTAATCAAGGAATTTAAAATATAGGTCCTATCACTTAAAGGTTCTAAATAAATCCAAGTTCGAATCCCGTTGAAGTTCTAATATGGAAGGCAATGACGTCAGATGAGATTGTTGTACTGATTTCAACAGCTCCTCGTTGAATCACAATTTATAATTTTCCAATTTAGAATTCCAAAATAACTTACAATAAATGTTTTTGTCCAATAATTTTTATGAAGAGCATTTGTATGTTTTCCAGAGTGAATAAATTATTAAATCCAAAAAATGGAAGAATTTTAAATAAACTGTCATCAACATTAAAAATACACCTTTAAGCTCTAAAGGTTTAAAATACGAATGTCTCAAAAAACACTGAATTCTCAGTATTAAACCCGACTAAAACGCAATTTCAGACCCGCGTGATGGGTCAAGTGGGCACTTACTACATGTCAATAAGCATGTAGGCTATAATAGCCCTAGCAAAGAATAGGTGATTCCCACACTGGAAATAAAATTTACAAAAAACATGTTTACAACGTAGCTAACACGTGGACCGAGCATGCCTTTGGTAACGACCAATCATTTTCACTCAGTGTTTACTATTCTATGAACCATGGTCAGCTAAAAATAAAATGTAACAAATGAATTGCGTGATTATCAGGTCAATACAGAAAACTGAATTTTTTCGAAAAAAGTCAAATCCAGTGAATAAAGTCATCATTAAAATAACATGTAATGAAATAAAAATAAAATAAATGAGAATTTAAAACTAACACACAAGTAATTAAATTACACATGCGTGCAAAACACAGTCGTATATAGAGCTACGAAAAGACGAGAATACACTAATGCAAGCACAGTAGTATACAGAGCCAAGAAACCATACATTACGGGATGGAAAACTTATAAACAAACTAAAGGAGACTGGATTTCACAATTTTACAAAATTTATCTATGGAATGGACAGGTTGTGAATTAAATCATGCACTTAATAGGGTCACAATTGATCGTAATGTAGCGTAACGTATTCTCTGTAAATTTCATTATTATTTTTAATGGCCATTCCCATCTTTTGCATGAACACATTTTCAAATTTAAGAAGCAATTAAAAATGTTATCACAAAGTATTTTTTCTCAATTTATATCAATTTGTAAGAATGTCTTGTACGCGTTTATAAATATATTTTCATTAAATTCATATTCCTTAGCCAAGTAGAATGTTGACCCTGTGGTTTATTTGGACCTGCCAGTTATTATCACTTAAACGTCAATTGAAATTAATTTTTAATAAATATATTGTAAACTGCATACAAACTGACCTTTTCATTTTTTGTTTAATTTTCAACACCTGCAATATCAGCGTTAATAACTTAATAAATTTGGAGTATGACCATTTATATATAGCTCGGAGATTAAAGGATTTATTGGATTTTTTGTGATTACTTGTTTCATTTTATGAAGTCGGTGCTGGGGCAAACGTCATAGAATGAAGTGTTAATGAGTTTCCATGATGCCATGGTTTACTTTTAAAGAATTCAGGCCAGAGTCGCACGAGTGTCCCCATTAAAATCTAGTAGTGTAAATTGATCGTGGGACTCCAGTTGCAGTATTTACGATTGGAGACTGGTAAATTATACAATGGAATAAACTAAAAGGAATTGTTCCATCGTCGGCAGGCACCTTTTACTGTTGCTAGAGTGGTAAATATGTTGCAGAGTTACATGCGAGATGTGGCTTAAAATCATGATTTGACTGGCTTAAGATGGCGTAGCAAAAATAGTTCCTAGTATATGTGTTAGAGCTGTATAGTTTCAAGGCGTGAAATACTGGAGGTACGTTGCCGAAAGTTAATGAGGAGAAGCCATGCAGTTGACAGACTATTGGGAAGTTGGGAGACTTGTGGTATTGCATTAAGCAGATTACCACTACTATAAAATGGACACGTTAGACTTTCCAGTTTCCAACAGTAGTCCATGGAAAAACTTATGACTTCTAACGAGATTCTCGCCAGGGTTTGACAACGCCCATTCAAGAAACCCCTATGGTCATCACAATGATATAAGTTTTTTGCGAGAGAGAAATCGCCAATATTGTGTTTACTTTTTTGTGTCAGTTTGATAAATGTATTTTTAAACGGTCATGGTTAGAAGAGATATATTCTAATTTACGTACGGCAATTCATTTTATCCCTGACGCGTCGGTCAATACCAAACCGTTCATTATATGCACATACAAATTGACATAACTGATACAGTCCAACATTAGAAAACTGTTTTCCAAACTTGAAGGGTAGCTGTCAGTAGAGAAGCATATTTATTATCACCAATGCTTTAACTGTGCCTTTCTCAGAAAACTTCTTTGAAAAATTCAGAGTGAAGCCATATCTAGCATGAACAAACTCCCAATCGGGATTACATAGACTTTAATCTCGCGTGAGAAGCAGAAATTAATTTTTGGTGACGGTATATTTTTAAAATCATGTATTAATTTTTGAGGTTTTTCACTATACTATTTACTTTATTAAATTTGGAACTTTTTGCACACACGCACGCACGCACACACGCCATCGATAATATCATATTTGATTAATAAACAGAGAATGCAACAAAAAAAATTGTAAACATAAAAAAATACTTTAAGGTTTTAAAATTCCATCAACATTTTCTATTCTTACTGTTGGGATTAAAAAAAAACAACATAAACGCCAATAATTCCGTGCAACTAGTTTCGCATATAATATATGCTTCTTCAGGCACAAAATGTTTTGAAATAAACGGATGACGTCTTTACAGGCTAAAATAACAATTACGTCATTACGTAACTTCATAAAAAATACGTCATTACGTAACGTCAAAAAACAATGCATAATAACAACAACTATATATATGACAGGATCTAAAAGATACACGAGTCACTAATGAAACCTGAATCAGTAAAATAATAAAATAAAATAGAGACAAATATATATATATATTGTGCATGGAGACATGAATAGACTTAGAAAAGAGACATATTTGATTCATAAATTAGATTCTTTGTATCCTAATGGCCTTAATACCAATGTATTATATAAAATTGTATAATTTTCTTTCCAATTGTGAAATTGTATATCTTTTACAACACTATAATTGTATGTATGACTGTTTGTCTCTATTTTATTTTATTATTTTACTATTCTTACTGTGATATTCTCCATACCAAAATACAACCTAATCGTGTTGTTGTCCCGTAAAACAAAAAAAGTTTCTTTGCAGCTGTAGTACACATACCTTCGTTGATCAGGACCATTTGCAGATTTTTTAAAAATAAAACTACATACACTACAATGAAACATTTCCCAAATTAAATTTCCGGCATACTCTCTCTCTCTCTCTCTCTCTCTCTCTCTCTCTCTCTCTCTCTCTCTCTCTCTCTCTCTCTCTCTCTCTCTCTCTCTCTCTCTCTCTCTCTCTCTCTCTCTCTCTCTCTCTCTCTCTCTCTCTCTCTCTCTCTCTCTCTCTCTCTCTCTCTCTCTCTCTCTCTCTCTCTCTCTCTCTCTCTCTCTCTCTCTCTCTCTCTCTCTCTCTCTCTCTCTCTCTCTCTCTCTCTCTCTCTCTCTCTCTCTCTCTCTCTCTCTCTCTCTCTCTCTCTCTCTCTCTCTCTCTCTCTCTCTCTCTCTCGTGAAGTCATTAAAAACAACATTAGGAAATTACCAAACTTCCGCGAACTCTGATTCCCCCAAGGTGCATCAATTGCCACTTCAAATATGTTTGTGGGTTTTGATGGACGGTTTATTAGTGGGAAATGTTTCACTTGTCGTGCGTACTAGATATGAAGAGCTCTTTTTTCGCCTCTTTTTCACGGTTATTAAGGTTCAGCATCAGAAAAGAATCCTTAAGAACACTTATAGCTTATACTAAAAAAATATCAACCGTCATTTATAACAGACACTCAAACAAATGAGCGTTACGGTCTTTGCTCGTATATAACGCCCATATTTCGTAGGTAGGGTTGACTCGGAATATCCTCATCATCATAGTCAGGAGTATCAGTAGTCTACGCTCTTCGTTATCCTTGTGATTTCTTGCAAACTGCGGCAGCAAAATACATTGATATGCCAGCGCAATAGGCTATGGCAAATCTTGGTTTATCCTGTCTCCACTGAAGGAGTCTTATACTGGAGTACAGACGCCTGATCAGGAAATTTACAAAACAGCAAGACAAAAAAAAAATGCCATCTTTAAAAAAAACGTTAAGGTTTAGATAATTGCTATGCTCGGTAGGAATGTGTTGTTGCGATATGCAACCAAAAATGTGTTTAGCGAATTTTGTTAGTGACCTGTTTCTATGAATATTATAATCAAGGCCTAGATATTGGTGAAAATATCCAGGTAAGTTATTGGGCATTGAAACAACTTTGAATTATGTCTTTGAAGAAAAGCTTGACAATTAAACAAATATAAAGCTTATAAAAATGTGCGTTCGATTTTTTTTTTAAAGTAGGTACAAGATTTTACCCCATTCACAATGTCGCAGTCATTCCTATGGATTATGCATTGCATGCACGCGGATTACTGACATTTGTACCACTCGGATCGCTCTGGTGACCTTGTCATTAGAGCGTTCGCCTCGCATGCGAGAGGTCGCGGGTTTAAATCCCGCTCAAGTC